GGGGGGAAAAAGGGCAGCGCGGCTGCCGACATGCGATGAGCTTGGTGCTGGGTGTGCTTTGCGCTGGCGCTGTGGTGCTTTGAGACCCTGGCTACCGGGGGAAATGGTGGTACAGGGGCATGGGGGGCAAGCGCACGTCTGTGCGTTGCAATGTGGGGTTTGATGCGTGGCGTGTGCCAGTCAACATCAACCAGGCAAGTAGCCTATGGCTCAAAGATTCCTCCCCGCCCACACACATGCGCCAAGGCCTCAAACACAAACCCACCCCAAAACACGTTCACCTCCCCAGGTGGAGAACCCCATCCCCTTCGCCGACTCCCTCGCCACCCGCGTCCGCACCACGGCGCTCCTGCACGCCCGCTACATGGGGCTGCTGCTCGCGCCGCTGCAGCTGTCGGCTGACTGGTCGTTCGCGTGCATCCCTCTGGTCGAGTCGTGGCGGGACCCCCGCAACCTGGCAGGCCTGGCCCTCTACCTGTGGCTGGCTTGGTGCGGCCTCAGCGCGCGGCCGGTTTCGTTGGTCAGAGGCGTCGCCGCGATGGTGTCGGACGCATTCGGCGGCGCCAGCGGCGCGGCGGCGCAGGCGCAACAGCCCGAGGATGCGGTCGCTCGAAACGGGCTCACGCCCGCGACGGCCGCCGCGCGGTGGCGGCTGTTTGTGGTGGCGGGCCTGCTGGTGGGGCCGTATTTCCCGGCTTCGAACGTCCTGTTCTACGTGGGCACCTTCATCGGCGAGAGGCTCCTCTACATGCCTTCCCTCGGCTACTGCCTGCTGCTTGCCCACCTGCTCGGCACCGCGCTGCCGCTCGGCTACGACGGCTCCAAAGACGCCGCCAGCACGGCCGCGCCGGCCCGCAGAGGTGCGGGCGGCAGGGGCCGGCTGCTGCTGCTGGCGCTGGTGGTGGCGCCGCTGCTGGCTTTCTACGGGGCACGCACCTGGCTGCGCAACGAGGACTGGCGGGACGAAGAGCGGCTGTTTGTGTCCGCGCTGGCGGTGTGCCCAAACAGTGCCAAGGTGCAGCTCAACAGCGGCATCCTCATGCGGCGGCACCAGCGCTTCGGCGACGCGCTGGCGCACTTCAGGTGCAGTGCAGGGCAGCTTGTGCAGTGATCCTGCGCAGGAAATGGTGTGTGCGTGTGTGTGTGTGCATGCGCGCGTGTATGCGTGCGCGTGTGTGTGTGTGTGTGTGTTTGTGTGTGTGCGTGCGCGTGTGTGCGCGTGTGTGTGCGTGTGTGCGCGTGCGTGTCTGTGTTTTTGTGCGTGCATGCGTGCATGCATGCATGCACCCGCGTACGTGTGTGTGTGTGTGTGTGTGCGTGCGTGTGTGTGCGTGCGTGTGTGTGTGTGCATGCGTGTGTGTGTTTTTGTGTGTGCATGCGTGCATGCGTGCGCGCGCGCGCCCGCGTGTGTGTGTGTGTGTGTATGCGTGCGTGTGTGTGCATGCATGTGTGTGGTTTTGTGTGTGCATGCGTGCATGCATGTGTGTGTGTGTGTGTGTGTGTGTGCGCACGTGTGTGTGTGTGTGTGCGT